GTAGTAGTAGTTGCTGTAGTGCTAGTAGTCGAAGTTGTACTTGTAGTGCGAGTGGTGCTAGTGGTTGTTGTAGTCGAAGTTGTACTTGTTGTTCGAGTTGTGGTAGTACGTGTTGTGGTTCCAGTGGTCGAAGTTGATTTGGTACTTGTTGTTGTGCTGGAGGTTGTAGTCGTCGTAGCTGATGTGGTGGTTGTACGTGTCGTACTGGAGGTAGTTGTTGTTCGCGACGTTGTGCTAGTACTACTTGTTGTGGATGTTGTTGTGGTTGTAGTTGTAGTTGTTGTTGTTGTTGGGGGCGAACATAAACGCGCTATGTTAGCTTTAACGCATATCCTGGTTTGATTGCTACTCGCTACGGGAATGATCGGAATGTTGTACGCGATGCGCGGCATCATGCGAGCGGCTAAGTGTGTTGCTTCGGGCTGTGCTGTTATCGTGGCTGCAGTAATTGTGACTGCAGCTTCTAGATTATAAAATCAAAGATGGTAACTATCAAAATTAAGATCAGATTGTATTTTTCGTTATCTTTATCAACGATGCATTACGGGCCGAGGAATTTCAAAAAGGGTTATATGAAGGTTTTATGTACTCAGGGTGAAGCAAAAGTTGATTTCTGACGTGGTCCTGGTGGTTGCATGCTTTCCTTACTTTGATATGATGGAATGAAGAATCAATGAAGCTTTCCTATGCACTCTGGCAATGCGTGAAGAATCGCCGGCGTTTGGTTACAACGATTAGTTTACGTATGTGACGTATTGTTACTGATTTCGGCTGTTTATGAGGAGCATTTTTTCGCTAGTCTTGCCGCCCTCTCTAGTATTTATCTGGCGTTAGTCACGCTAAAGTATTTTTTGTGTTAGTTTAGTAGCTGTTGCGAGAATGAGGAAGGCGCTCTTCAAAAAGAAGGCTATTTTTTTATTCGATGTGAGAAGCAAATTTTGGCTTTGCCTAAAGGAGATTTTCAGTGAGATCTAGGTTTGAATGAAACTGTGACATATGGTTTGATGATAACTAAGTTTTTGGAGTTGGTGATTTTGAGTCATTTCAGTTTAAAAACAAGATATTCAGAGAATTCTGCGTTAGAATTCTTACGTAGTAGTACATAAGTGTGGTGAAATGAGCCGAGCTTGCGTTGCCAAAAACTTTCGTTTAGTACTTTTTCTGAATATATATAATATTATTTTTTCTACAAATAAGTGGAAATCAGCTTTGACTGTGGCGATGCGGGCTGCGGATTTGAGTTGTTTGGCAGAACATTCATGAAGAAAAATCTCGGAGACACACCAAGGGATCTTCCCTAATCAGATATAGAAGCCTAGGGATGAGCATAACGCGATGATGTAAGCCGTAAAGAAGCTGTTATCGCAATCCCTGTGGGATTAAAATGTGAACACGATGAAGCTCCTTCGTTGGAACCTGTCTAACAAGGTGTTTGCGTCTTTGCAGCTTTTCTGCTACTGTCTGTAATCATATATGGAGACTTTCGGCCATGGTCTGTGTTAATATGTGGAACTTCTCTGTTACGGTCTGTATTATGATGTATCGAGGCGCTAGAGACCATCCCAAATCGTTGCCGAAAATTCAGAGACTTCAGAAGTTATCACAGACCGCTACAGATATCTGGGAAATCATGACAGATCGTCACAAAGACCTCGGAAACTATCTCAGACAGTCACAGAGAAATTTAATAATTAATTAATTTCTCTGTAACGGTCTGTGGGGGAGGGTCCACATTTGTACTCTGAAAGAAAAGGTGCCACGTGGAACCATTTATAGTTCTAACCAAGATACTGAACCTTTTAAGGTTTCACTCGCTCATTAATAAACCATAGAGAGTTCTAGCTAGTTTAAAGAACCATCTCAGATCCTCAATAGGGGGACAGTCTAGAATGTCCTTTAGAAAATGTCCTTTACGAAATGTCCTCGGGATTTGGTCCTCGGAAAAGAGTCCTTCAGACAAAATATCCTTGGAAAAAAATGTCCTTGGGAAATGGTCCTTTCTGATTTAGTCCTTTGAAAAAATGTCCTCTATTGTGAAAATGTCCTTTCAGTAAAATAAAAATAATGCTAGGTTATAGTGTTTTAAATGCAGTACTTTATTATAACCGATTAAAGGACTGGGACGTATAAGATACCCTATCAGCCCATTCCGCTTTTTTCAACTCAACCTAGCGAAATTATATACGAATTGAAAGCTCTCGTTGAAAGAAGACTTTTTATACTAAATCCGTCAAGAAAAAAAAATTCCTGTAAAAAAAGATATAGATACAAACAAAAGTTGACTATTTGACTATTTCTCTTGGAAGCAATCATCCCTTTCCGACACAAATGTATCACAAAAGAACTCTTTTCATATCTACCATTCGATAGGCACTTTTAAGCGAGTTAAAATAGGATGATTAGAAAAGTAAAAAGAAACATTGGTCACTTGATGATCATTGCCGAAAAACTTTCACTAACTAACCTTTTTTTCATTTTTGATGGGGGTGTGGGTGTGGATGAGATTGGGTGTTTTGGGTTTACATTTGAATTCATATTTCTTTTTCAGTATAAATGGGTGATAAACAGGATAGGTGTGAGCCTTGCGATTCTATCTTATATCTTAGCTCTTTACTCTTACTCACGGATAAAAAGTCAGGGCTGTAGCTTCTGTCACACTTAAAACTCATGTTCCGGATGTATAGTGGTACCTGCAGTCTGATCTATTTTGATGGTTTGATAAAGAACCCACTGGCAACGTTTTTAGCGTGAATTGTGTTTGAATAGATCTTTTGATTAATATTTCGTTCAATTCGTAAATTGTTTGTGACATTTTGTCAACAGAACTTTCTACTTTTGTGGCGATTGGTCCTGTAAGGATTGATCCTACAACGATGTCACCTAGCGCACTTTGATTTATTTTAAACTATCATGAAACCGTAGAAATTCATAGAAGTTGCATCACATTTCTCTCCTGCTACAACGAGATGTGAAGTCAATTAATTCATGCTTGGGATTAGCATTATTCGTAACCATTTTTCAGACAGCATTTTTCTTTGAATATCATATTTACTCTTCAGAACCTATGCTTTTGAATAACATTTCTAAATGGTGTTTGTTTCAATATAAGTGACAAATAGTGAAAAACATGAAAGATGTGTTACCTGTTTCGAGAGTTTGAGTTGCATCATTTTGATTGTTTATTACATTAGGAATAGCAATACTTATTGCTACAACTAAGCCGAGTGCGAGCATTACGATCCATCGGCTACCTTGTAGCAGGCGTATACGAGAACTTGATGTAAAAAAAGATCTTATATACAGTAGAGTAATATCGCACCACTTACCTTCCTCTTAAAGCCATCTAGAGCAAAATTTTGCAAGCGCTAAAATTAAAATGGAGACCTAGTGGTTTTCAACAGTCCTGTTAACTTTTACTACTGCAATTGCTTCAACACGTCGTATTATCGATATAGTTACTTGTAGCTACTTGTTTAATCTGAATTCAAAAATATGGATGCATTTTTTATTCAGTTAAAGGTGAAAAGTGTATGAAGGATAAACAGCATTCGTCTAAAATAAATAAAATACTGCTCATTTTCTTCGTGGGTTACGGTGTTTTTAAACGTTCAGAGGTAAAAAAAACAGGCTTATTTACACTGAAACCTTTTGATTTGCACTCTTCTTAATTTATACAGTGAAAATAGCCGACAATGAATAACATTCAAATTTGGTAGCCTCACTAAGTAAATACAGAAAGGGGTAGTTGTTGATGAAAAAAGCTTTTAGTTTGTTGTAAAAGTGTTACTCAATTCAAAACAGCTTTTTGCAATTAAGAAGGGGTATCGTTATGGCAAAAAGAAACAATCATTCCTTTTTTACACTACTATGTTTTCAATCTAAAACATAACATCTCGTCTATTTTCAGACAAAAAGCATTTGTTCAAAAGAGGATACAATTTTTTTCAAAAATGGAATGACGTCGTTTTGATTATACTGTTGGTCAGATCAAAGTTTACTGTGCTACATGTATGTTGTTTTTCTTGTGTGAGCTTGATAATATCCATAGGGGTATAACTGCATGAGAAAACGTAAATACTACTAAAAAGATCAATATCACAGGAACGTTAAATCATGAGTTTCATATTTCCTATTTTCTACTCCGCAGATCGTTTCTTGATTTTATCTGTTTGACATTATTCTGTTGAGGGTCATTCCACCAGAAATCGCCAGTCGATCCGGCGACCGAGCCATAATTCATTCAAAGTTGCAGGGTTTGTAGAGAATTTTGCGCTGATCGTTTTGGTAATAAAGTTTTTAGAAATAAATTGTATTTTCGCGAAGATAGATGTCAAATACAACAAGTACACTTTTCTTTTTTGAAGTAAATAAAAAAAGCATTTTTTCGAAAAAATGATGAAAATCTCACTTTTTCCACTCGGATTTTAAAACCAACTACATACTCAGAATCCTTGTGAAAAACTGCATCCGAATCTATACGAATTGAAATAATTTTGAAGAACTTTCACGAACTACTCAGTCGTTTTGCGGTGCACTAATGAGGCACAGTGTTTGAAAAATTCGCTGTGAAAGTCGGAATTCACAGAAATATTGGCGTTAGCAGTTCGATAGAGTGAAACGCGCTCTACATGATGTACGAGTTCGTTTTCTTCCCTACGTCGATTTGAGGGTGTGAAAGCCCGAAAACTATTTTGAACGACAATTTTTTATGAATTTTTCAGTTAAATCTGATCATTTTACTTCATTAAGTATATTCAAATACATTGAAATGTGCACGTTTTGTAGAGCTTTTTTCCACTGAGCATTTTGGTATTAAGTTGTTTCAAGTTTGATTTTATTTTCATAAAGATACGGGTCAAATGATCTGGGACTGACTTTTTGAGACTGTATCAGACTCTATATTCACTTCATCAGAATGGAAGGAAACTTTCAGAGTTTCAGGGCTTGTAACTGTTAGCACAGCTGCGCATTTAAAAATTTTGAAAATTATGCAAAGGGGGGCTGAATGGGGACGAAATTTTTGATTTCGTAGCCAAAACTTCATACCTGGAATATATCCATTTTAAATGATAGACATGTGAAATCTTCTGAATAGATACTATTCAATGAGATGATCATTTTATTAAGCAGGTACGTTTTTGTCCGATGTTTCCTTTGTACTAAATTGGTTCTAAGAAAAATGTACATTTTCCAGTTTTTGGAGGCTAACTATTTTGAACAAGGCTCAATACATAATTAATAAATTCATATCCGGTAGAATAGGCATTCAATGCACTATCTGGATATCGGATTCGGATAGGTTTCAAACCGAAGCTCCCCAATATAATAAACGGTTTGGTGGAACGATTTTCACTTTTTTCTTAAAACTTCCGGGCTGCCTAATGAGGAAGTTAATGATTATTCTTCGAAAATAACTTCGTATTTGAGGATTCCGTGACTTAGGCTATATGAGAAACGTGTTCGGTATAATAGTCAGAGAGTTTGAAAATTCTAAAAAATTCTTGTGGGAATCCCTCTGAAAGACCATACATCCTAAAACTCCCAGGGTAATCTTGCGATACTATTTTTCTGTTAGTCGGCCTTGAGTAGATTATGCATATGTATTGCTCTTCTGATCGGAACCCTTCATTTTTTCTTTAGATAGCCCGGAAGTTGAAGAAAAAGTGAAAATCGTCCTTCTAAAGGGTTTATTATATCGGAAAGCGTTGGCTGGAAACCTATCCGAATCTATTATCCAGATAGTGCATTGAATGCCTATTCTAGCGCATATAAATGTATTAATTAAATATTGTGTCTAGCTAGAAATATTTAGCTGCGAAAACTAAAAAAAGTTCATTTTTGTTCGAACCATTTTCGTACAAAGGAAACGTCGAACGAAAATTTAACCGCTTAGTAAAATGATCACCTCAATGAATACTATCTAATCAGAAGGTTTCACATATGTCTATCATTAAAAATGAATATATCCCAGATATGAAGTTTTGGCTGAGAAAGCACAAATTGTGCTCCTCACTTAGCTCCCTTTGGGTAATTTTCAAAATTTTTTAAAAGCACAGCTGTGCTAACAGTTACAAACCCTGCAAACTCTGAAAGTTTCCTTCCATTCTGCTGAAGTGAACAGAGACGTGCACAGGACAGGACGGTCCTGCTGTCCTGCCGCCAGCCAGGACGAATATTATGGGTCTGGGTGGTGGTGGGTGTTGCCATACGTGTGGGTGTGGATGTCAGTGTGGGTGGTGCCATAAGTGTGGGTGTGGGTGTCAGTGTGGGTGCACTGAATTCCAGAACCGTTGGGGATTGGGCGGGATCCGTAGGAATTCCGTGTAATTCCGGAATTGAATCGGAAGGGATAAACGAAATTCCTGGAATTAGATGGAATTGGTTCCGTGAGCGGAACTGGTTCTGGGATGTTCAACATTGCGGAATAGGATGCATTCTCAGTCTAAAATTACTAATAGTAATATTTACTTCGGTCAACAACAGCTCGAGTTTGAAGTCCAAATTTTGGACTCATAATTAGTTTTCAGTCACTAGCAAATTCAAAATAAATCAGTAACACCAACCAGGACGTAAACGCATTGTCCTGCCGCCCGCCAAGACGAAGATTGCCAACAGGGCAAAACAGGACAGGATAAGGTTTCAATTTTTGTCCTGTCCTGCTGCCCGCCAGGACCGAGGTAGCCAGCAGAAAAGGTGAGGACAGGACAAAAAATCTTGTCCTGTGCACGTCTCTGGAGGTGAATATAGAGTCTGATACAGTCTCAAAAAGTCAGTCCCAGATCATTTGACCCGTATCTTTATGAAAATAAAATCAAACTTGAAACAACTTAATACCAAAATGCTCAGTGGAAAAAAGCTCTACAAAACGTGCACATTTCAATGAATTTGAATATACTTATTGAAGTAAAATGATCAGATTTAACTGAAAAATTCATAAAAAATTGTCGTTCAAAATAGTTTTCGGGCTTTCACACCCTCAAATCGACGTAGGGAAGAAAACGAACTCGTACATCATGTAGAGCGCGTTTCACTCTATCGAACTGCTAACGCCAATATTTCTGTGAATTCCGACTTTCACAGCGAATTTTTCAAACACTGTGCCTCATTAGTGCACCGCAAAACGACTGAGTAGTTCGTGAAAGTTCTTCAAAATTATTTCAATTCGTATAGATTCGGATGCAGTTTTTCACAAGGATTCTGAGTATGTAGTTGGTTTTAAAATCCGAGTGGAAAAAGTGAGATTTTCATCATTTTTTCGAAAAAATGCTTTTTTTATTTACTTCAAAAAAGAAAAGTGTACTTGTTGTATTTGACATCTATCTTCGCGAAAATACAATTTATTTCTAAAAACTTTATTACCAAAACGATCAGCGCAAAATTCTCTACAAACCCTGCAACTTTGAATGAATTATGGCTCGGTCGCCGGATCGACCGGCGATTTCTGGTGGAATGACTCTTGAGTATTTAGAAAGCACAAAAATGTTCGGTGAACTAGTATATAGAAATATATTCATTTATTGAAAGTTAAAATATTACAGGCCTGTAGCGAGAATGCAAACGCGTGTACACTTTCGTCAGAACTAGACATGCACTGAATCCGAACTACCCGGGCTCGGTTATACCCAGACTCGATACCGGGATTCCCGATCCATTTATTCATATCTTTCGAAGCATAGAACTGAATAATAAATAAGCACCTACAGATACATAGTAAAAAATGATTTTATATCGAAGGCTTATCGTCTCTTCCTCAAATCTATTATATATAATCTTATTTATCAGGAGTGCATATAATTTAATGAGCTCTTCTTAATATTTCTCTTTGACTCAACCACAGGAAATCGTCGAGCGATTCTTCTTATTGAAATAATCCTTTCTGATAGTCTAAATAGGGATGTGGCAATACGAATACTACGAATGCCAATACCAATACAGTTTTGTATTGGCGCTATTGATATTAGCATCATTAATATTGATATTGTAACTAAACCGATGGAGAAAAAGCATACCTCTGTATTTCATCAATATTTAATTATGAGAATCATTCGAAGATTTCTTATAGGTGAGTTCAAGAGAACTATTAAGAGAAGCTCATTTAGCTGTATCCGTTCCTGATAAAATAAGACCAACTATGCTAGTCTGAGCAAGGTGGAGGGTATTTGATATGTAATCATTTTTTACCATCTATCATATTCCCTCGACTGAAGGGAGGGTCATATGAAAAAAACTAAAATGCGTTTGTTTGTGTTTGCTTGAGGTCAAAAAACATCCAAGGGAGGTTAGCTTTTTTTAAGACTTTTAGCCGTTTTGGTCGAACTTTGCCATAGGCTAACGAGGGCTCTG